GAAAGGCCCCCGCCCCCCTCGAGAGGCACAGATGATCGCCCCGGGGGCCACAACCAGCAGCCGGCAGAGTCCCTGGAGATATCAGCGGCAAGCCCACAGGCCCGCCCGCAGCCTCCCACCCCCTAGCCGGCCGAGCCCGGGACCCAGCGACCCGGGACCCAGGGGTGACCACCCCCGCCGGGGACCCAGCAGAGCCCAGGGACCCAGACCCCACCAGACAGCCACCGGGATCTATCAGGCAGATGCCAAAATCTTAAACCCCCTGACCCGGTTGCCACGAACACTCAGGCAGACCATGTCACAAGCCCCAACACCAGGTGTGGCAGGGGGAGGGGGGACAAAGATCTATATCATCAAGAGAAGTTCCAGGAGAGGGGAGGACCCAAAGGCCCCACCTGACATATACAGTCATACACAAACACAGTCACACACTCCCTCCCTCATGCTCACACATGCACATACAACCCAAGACTTACAAAAATGCACGCCGGACACTCACTCATGCTCCCCATACACACCCTATTAACTCTGGTCCCGGTACTGCTGCACATGGGGTACAACCATCACTGGTAACCAGAGTTTGACCCTTTCTGCTGGGGTGCTGATGAGCAGGCTCCCCCGCCCAACGCTGAGCACAGCAACCCACCACCCCAGACCCCAACCAGACGGCCAGATCTCCCTCCAAGCCTCCAGCCCCAGGAAGCCTAGCAACAACAGAGGTGGCTAAGACCCCTAGTCTCCCTCCACCTGCTCCAATATAGTGTTGTGTGATCATGAGGTGTATTCCATGGCTGTGGTGAGTGGGCAGTGCGGGCATCATCCGGCATATGCCAGCTGATGCCACCGCACCACCCCACTTACACCCTCAGCCATCAGTGTCTAAGTGCAGTTTAAAATTGGAAGTGGGCACCGGCACTCGGGAGGAGGCTGAAATATCCCCCTGCCAAATGCCGTTGAATGTGCTCACTCCCAAGGCCCTAAGTGTGTGTTTGTGTGGAATGTCGTCAGTGGAAGTGTATAAGGTGCAAATAAAATTGGGGGGCAGGTTGCCACAGGAATGCGGAAATGGGGTCCATACCCGCACTCCCTGACTTGCCCACCCCCCAAGGTCCTATGTGTATGTTTGTGTGATGATGTGAGGGAGCAGGAGGAGAGAAATATGCGGGGATGGGGAGGAATGGCTGGTTGGGCTTAGCCCTCCAGGGAGCCAGCTCCCCTACTGGCCCCAATAGGCACCTCTGTTGTCAAACTGCCACCCAGGGCATGGAGACCCCAGCCCATCCTGCCAGGGCCCAAAGCAGCAGCATTACAGAGCCTCACGGAGTCCGAGGGCACCAACCCAGCCCCATCGAGAGATTATTGACTCTGATGAAGAAATTCTCTCATCCAGCCAGGAAGATTGACGCTGCTGCAGCATCAGACAGCTGGTACTGCACGAGAGGTGTGTGGAGCTTACAAGCTCCAAACGTTGGGTTTGATGTTTATTTAACCTTCTTTGGGACGTGATGGATGTAGAAATGATGGTAAAACACTGCTAACGTGACAGACGTAGCGACAATGTTAAAAAAAAAAGCCGTAAAAAAGAGGCAGATGCCGATGCGTTATATGTGGAAGTCAAGTGTGCCACATAATCATAAAAAAAGTAAAATATAACATTTTAAAAGAGATTTATATATTTATATATAAATTAAAACTTTCCAAATATAATGAAAATTTATAAATAACATAAATTATCGATTAATTAATATAAGATTATAAACAACTAAACAAGCTAAATCTACACCACATTTGAAATATAGATATAAATCTATATTTATCGCTACAGATGTGAACCATCTCTGGACATCACCAGAGAAGCTGATCTGTTTTAAAGCGAGGCTCAAAGGCAGCACTTAGATCCAGTAGAACCAACACAGTCACCTTCCGTTTATCACAATTCAATCTAAAATCATTTAAAATCTTCAACAGGGCCGTCTCTGTGCTGTGGTTCACCCTAAAACCAGACTGAAATTTCTCTATGACATTATGAGTGTTTATAAAATCATTTAGTTGATTTAAAACCAACTTTTCTCAAATTTTGCCTAAAAATGGTAAGTTAGATACCGATCGATAATTGTTTAAATCATTAAAATCTAAATTGCTCTTCTTCAACAAGGGCCTCACCACCGCCCCTTTAAGGAAGCAGGAAAGACCCCAGTCAGAAGGGAGCAATTCATCAGGGTTAAAATCTCATCACTAAAAGACCCATAGAATTATTTGAAAAACAAAGTTGGAATTAGGTCCAGAACACATGTGGTGGGTCTCACTGAGGAGATTAGTGAATATGCCACTTCTGGTCCTAAGTAGGGTAGCTGTACAAGTACACACACACACACACACACACACACACACACCAATGGATGATAATTCCCTTGTTTTTTTTTACGACTGAAGTTCACAAGTTGATTATTTTGCCACATTTATAACCTTGCATAAATAACTTAATTTTAGAGGCAAAGGAACAATGGAGAACAAAAGAAAACAGGGAAATAGGAATGTAACAGGCATTAATGTTCAGTACTGTATGTTTATGGAAATCTGTGAAAAACATATTAAAAGGAAAAAATAGAAACATGAACAATCTTGATACACATTTACCCCCACCCCCCACCCCCCGACCTCTCGTTTCAATTATATCGATTACTGGGTTTCTTGGGATGACATTTTCTACAAAATAAAATAGCTACAGAGAAAATCGGTCTCATCATGTGATTAAAAACACCTAACATTTATTTGGTCGAATCCATGTGATGCTCAAAAAGATGTAATCTCCTTGTTTGTCAGACATCAAACAAATAAGTCTAAAAGTCTTGTCTTTGATCTGAGTCCCCTACCTTTTCATCAATTTCACGTCCATTATCTGCAGCATCTTCAGTCTGCTCCAGTAGATTCTGACATTTTCCTCCACTAAACCAAAGTAGCTTGTAAAGGTCAAAGTGAGGTGCAACATTCAAAAGAAGTTGTGACATACTCTCATCATCCCGTTAATTAAAATTTTCTTTGATCAAACCTTTCATATCCTGAACTAATAGAGAGGCATCCCCTTATCAACGCTGGATAGTTCTTTTAAAAAAAATATTGATGTATCTCTGGTGGCAGCTGGGGATGGGTACCGTATTCGGTACTTTTTAAGGCACCGACCGACCAAGGACCGATTCATGTGATATGAAACGGTGGCTTGTTGCGGTACTTTTTGCCACTAATGTTCGGTGCCTGATTTCCCAAGATAGACATCAGTGCATGCACAAGAGCGTTATGTCACCAGTCGCAGCAAGTGCAATGTAAACAGAGCAAGCAGCATGGTAGAAACCCATGCTTTCGTTCTTTTCCAAACACAGAAACAGTTTTGTTTACCTGTTTGTAGCTACAGTTTCGCCGACAGCTGCCGGCTTCTTCAGGCTGACGCTGATGGTGGCGCGTCACTTCCTTCTCCGTTTATCTGCGGGCAGTAGAGGACGTTGTCGCCCTCTACTGCCCGCTTTCCCCTCTCCGACGATGCAGTCCCATGCGTGGTCCAGCGTGTAAACTCCGTCGTCCCTGTTCATGGTCCCACATCCACGTCTCCTTATCTCGATTGCTTCCTTGATCCATCTTTTGTATTTTTGTTGTTCAGTGGTTATGATCCGTGTGCTGTCCCAGTCCATTATATGGTTTTCTCTTAAGCAATGATCTGTTACGGCTGACTTTTTTATTGTACTTTCTGCTTCTTCTTTTGCTGCTCTTGTGTGTTTACGATTTGCCTCTTTCTCGCACTCCTTTCTGTGAGCGGGCAGTAGAGGGCGACAACGTCCTCTACTGCCCGCAGATAAACGGAGAAGGAAGTGACGCGCCACCGTCAGCATCAGCCTGAAGAAGCCGGCAGCCGTCGGCGAAACTGTAGCTACAAACAGGTAAACAAAACTGTTTCTGTGTTTGGAAAAGAACGAAAGCATGGATTTAGAAAGACACAGCAAGAACACACCTAAGATGTTCAAAGAGAAATACGGACAACAAGGAACGAAGGACTTCCGCCGTTTGGAACGATTACACCAGAAACGCGCACGTCTAAGAAACCACCTTCGCTTCTGTTTAAGATGCCGGGACGAAAACATCACACCCACAAGCCTACAGCTGAAAACACCGATCCGGACCAAGACAGCACAAAATATAATAGAAAGAGCACAGAGAGCACTGCTCAAGGAGAGGATAAGAAACGTCATAACCAAAAAGAGGCGTGTGGAGGACGAACTGGAAAGAGGACACCTGGACTTGAAAAGGAATTACAAACTTGATAAACAAATGGAGGAACTAATTAAAGGACACATGATGGAAAAACAGGAAAAAGAGTTCATAAAAGTAAAAGAAAGACACATAAAGAAGTTAAACAGACTCATAAACAAGAAAAAGAGGGGAGAAATACAAGGCAATTCCACACCAAACTCATGGGTATGTAACATTTCACAATACAAACTAACAGAAGCAGAAGAAAGCATATTAAAGAAAGGTTTAAACTTTGCAGTCACACCAAAAGAAATACCATATGATGAATTTATTGTAGCAACAGAACTAGCATGTCAACAGATCACAGATGAGGGAAAGAAAGCAGAACTCAGAAATAACATAGTTGGGATATTAAAAAAACAGCCAAATTCAACACAGCAATATTACAAAAGAAGAAAAATCAGCCATGACAGCTTTATCCAAAAATGAACAGATACGCTGACGTCGTTAGGTCCGTTTTAGGGGGGCTTCAGCCCCCCTATCATTTTGGTTTATTTTATTTTTTTCAGTTAACTTTTTTTTTATTTGTTCACATCTACATGCTGAACACAAGCTCGACACGTGTAACTGGTACATGAGTTTTTTAGTCTGGAACAGAAATAATAATTAATGAATATAGAACTACACCGTCGCACACAGGAAGTATCAAGAAAGGACTTCCTCCACTTCCTTAAGCCCGCAGCTTTGTTGACAATTCAGGGGGCGGGTCGATACAGAAAAACCTTTATATCGATGAGCAAACCCTGCTCAGCGCTCATGTAAGTCACTCAACATCACATTAGGGTAAGACAGCAACAGCAGCACACCGTTAATATTTCAAGGTTATAGTTCAGACGAGAGAGGAAAATGCTACCGCACCGACGTGCTAATGCTAACTCCGCTAGCATGTGTACTTGCCGCAAACCATAATGAAAAGCTTTGATGTCAAGTAAAATGGTCGGAAAACTCCCCTGAAGTGACATGATTAACCAGCCAGCCAGTTCATTGAGTGACTTAGTGCCACCAACTTGAGCGTACAGTAATGAGTCTGCACAAACAGAACCTGTTCTGCGCTTGTGTGCAGCAGCTGCAGCTCTCTCTATGGGATCAATTCTGCACATGCAAATCTCTCCTTGCTCTCCTCAACAAGTAGCCTCTCCAACAGTCAATCACAGACAGCTCTGTTTTAACCAACCAAAGCATGTCCAGGAAACACTGCTTTACAGAAAAACACCCATTTAACAGCTTATTGAACTGCTTTCTGCTGCTGGTTAGCTACCAGTCACCATCCACTGCCTGCAAGATACTTTGTTGTAATTCATGTGTCATGATTAGGGTGACCATATTTGACTTCCAGAAAAGACACATTGCCTATTCCTAAAACTGTTAAATTGCACTCTTTTCAGTTAAAAATGACTTTTAATTTCAACATATAAAGTGTTTCTTCTCTGTTTGGTCAGACATAAATGATCCCTTGATGTGTAAAAGGAAGTGAACAGTGGAAATGTCCCAGGAAAAGAGGAGGGTTAATCAACCTAATTAAATATAATTATATAAAGTCCTCTTTATCTGAAAAAAGTGCAATTTTCCTGCCAGTATTTCCTGGACATGCTTTGATTGCATAATGGAGAGCTCTCTGATTGGCTGACGGAGAGGCTACATTGCTTTGTAAATTGCAAATTGAGCAACAGCAGGGAGATTTGTGCAGGCAGAGACGGAGTTGAGCATGCAGAGAGAGGGCTGCATACGACGTTGTGCTCTTGCAGATTGATCACTGCACACTCCAGTTGGTGGCACAAAAATCACTCCACACTAAAAACCTGAATCAGAATCTGGCCGAATGTGAATATTATTGACCGTTTTTCTATATTAAATATATTTTTCTATAATATATATATATATAATATATTATAGGTACATATATGTATCTATAATATATTAAATAGGGTTGTCACGGTATGAAAATTTAACCTCACGGTTATTGTGACCAAAATTATCACGGTTTTCGGTATTATCGCGGTATTTTTTAAACGGTGTTGCATATGTTCAGAAAGCATTTATAGTCCTGTTCTACACAAACTGAAATAGTTCTGAAAAGGTTTAACAGTGTTTATTAAACCTAAAATAACACAAAGCCTTAGCAAAAGTGCAACTTTTCACAAGTAAAGGAACAAATAGCTTCTTTTTCTGGAACATGTTACAGTAGTCAGTGCAGGTTTAAATGATACAAATCCAAACATTCGAAACATAAACAATATGTAAACAAATCAAAGAAACACCACTTGTTTTCTCATATACTTGTTTTCTTCATTATCAAAATGAAAATCTAAAACTCCAGTCCACACTTGACTTGAGCACTGTACAAGTCAACCTTAAAAAAAATATGTATTTAAAATAAATAGCCACTTTAAACAAATTACTAAAATAACTACTACACTATTTAATCAAATCCAAATGTTCAAGTATAAATGGCATTGAATAAGTAAACAAATCAATGACAAGGAACTAATTGTATATTTCTCTTCATCATCAACAAATAAGATGCTTCATCCAGCAACAGGGTGTCCGTGACACGGTTTAAATGCTGACAGAGGACGCTGCGGCTGCAGTATATAGTGACTCGTTGCATTCTCCCTCAACCAAAAGTCCTCACGTCATGCATTTAAGCTAAAATGCTAATGTTAACTTACCTTGCACTGGCTGTAGAGACGTGGGTGATGGTCACGCAGATGTGCCATTAGATTCGAAGTGTTGCTGCCTTTTGCAGACACTTGTTTCCTGCACGTTCTGCAAACGGGATAGCCGTCTTCTATTAACTGTCCCTCAGCATTTTTCAGAAATCCAAAATATGCCCATACTTCCGAATTTAGTCTTCTTTGAGGGCTGATGGATGTCCTGGGCGCTGCCGTCTCCTCCTTCGGCCATTATTTCAGCTTCAAAGTTTTGGTGCCGTTGCAAACTAAAAAGTGCGTATGCGCGCCGCGGGAACTTCAGCTGAAGCGACGGTGGCTGGTAAGGGTCACCGCGCCGAAACCGCGGCCACGGTAAACCCACCGAGATAATATAGTTTTTTTTAAAAACTGGACGGTTATTTTTATTGTCAACCTTTTTACCGGGGTTTACCGCTATACCGGTTACCGTGACAACCCTAATAGTAAACAGCCAGTTTTATATATGTCACATATATTCAAAAGCTACATCAAAACATATATTAAAACCTATATGTTTATGACTTCTTTCCATGTGGGTTGTCAATTGCTTAATATTTCCTATGTTTACCTATGGGAAAGAAAGGAGATATTGTACTCATCTAACTTTAACATAAATTTTGGCAGCTCGATGTGATGTTATGGAAAATGCCATCATCATGAGCAACCAAACATGGGCTATATTAGGCTAACAGTTGTCCATATTCTGTACCATTTATCCACCAATGGCTGTTTCAATTATTGTGAGTGAAAACTGAATGGTATAGTAGCATTTGTCTTGGCATTAGAAATTGAAAAAGTTTTTCAATGTGTTGGCTAGATGGATATACGAAGACTTTTTTAAGAGAGTGAGTGAGGAACAGGAGAGAGATCAGGTGGTTGATGCTGAGGAGATCTGCATGGTCAAGGTCAGTGATCTACAGAGAAAACAGGGGCGAGCGCACCGTTATGAGCATTTACCTGAGCACAAAGTTCCCAAGCAAAATTGAACAGTTTTCTATTTAGGAGTGAACAGGTAAGAGACCTTGAGAAAAAAATAACTATATAATGTGACCTGCAACCTTATGTCAAGTTGTATCTGTATAGTTGACTTTCTGTATTATAAGTTCTACTACTTGCTGGATATTTTTATATATACTGTTATTTTGTCTTGTAATAGTTAATTATATACTCCTTTATTCCATATCATAGCAGTGTTATTCATATATTAAAACTGTCAACTGCACACTCATTTGGCAGAATAAAAGTTTTACAATTATTCATTTGTTCTTTATTGTCACATTTCAGTAACAGTTATAATTAAACAAGTTGTAAGTAAACAAATTAAAGAAATGACTACAACATTTCCCCCTGTTAAGTGCAGTAGACTGAAATGAATAGCTTTATTTGGAAATATAACATATCTCATTTTTAATGGACTTACATAAAATCTTTCTTCAACATAGACCCCACTAATGAACTGATTAAGTGTTATTTTTTATGAAAAGAAGAGAGAAAATGCACAAAAGTAGGAAAGGAAAAGAAAGTGATAAAATAATAGGTTTTGTTAAATGTTCTTCAGATAATGAATTAATTGACAAAGTTTTTGCAGGGTGTGACAAAAAAACGTTCGAGGTCAAGCTCCTGGGGCTAAGCCCCCCCTATATCTCAATCCTAGTGACGTCCATGAACAGATAATTATTCTACCGGCAGACAAAGGAAGAACCACAGTAGTTATGGACAGAGAAAAATATAAACAACAGATGAAACAGATGCTAGAGGACAAAAATACATATGAAATACTTAAAAAAGATCCAACAGAAAACATTAAGAAAAACATGAAAAAATTACTGAAGCCACTGCACGAAAAAGGCAAAATAACAGAAAAAATGTACAAACACTGGATTCCTACAGCAAACATAACACCAAGAATATATGGAACACCAAAAATACATAAAGAAAACACCCCACTTAGACCAATAGTTTACAGCATAGGTACACCAACATACAACATGGCAAAAGATATCAGCATAATCATCAGCCCGTTATTAAGAAACACAGACCAACACTGCAAAAATAGTATAGAACTGGCAAAAGAACTAAAGGAAATTACAATAGAAGACAACGACATACTCATCTCACATGACGTCACATCTCTGTTCACAAAAACACCAACCCAAAAAACCATAGACATAGTAGTTAACAGAATCAGACAAGACAAAACTTTACACAAAAGGACAAACCTCACAGCAGATGACATAGCACAACTGATAGGACTGGTAGCTAACTCCACTTACTTCACATACGATAACACAATATACAAACAACTGGAAGGCTTCGCCATGGGTAACCCGTTATCAGCCACCCTGTGCGAGTTTTTCATGGAAGACCTGGAACAAAAAGCCATAGCCACCGCCCCCCCAAACTGCAAAATAAAACTATGGAAACGCTACGTGGATGACATACTGGAAATCATACCAAAAGGACAAACAGAAACACTAACACAACACTTAAACAATATTGACGACACGGGCAACATAAAATTCACTTATGAGTTAGAGACAGACGGCAGTATAGCATTTATGGATATGAAAATAACCAGGCAGACCGACGGGACCCTAAACATAAACACATAGAGGAAACCAACACACACAGACCAATATTTAGTATGGACATCAGAACACCCCACCATACACAAAATGTCAGTAATCAGAACATTATATCACCGAGCAAACATAATAACAGAAGAGAGAGACCGTAAACAGGAGGACAAACACATACAATACGCTTTAAAGACCTGCGCATACCCGACATGGGCAATAAACAAAGGAAAACAACAAACAAAAACAGAAAGCAAAGAACAACCCAAAAAAAGTACCAGAAACCCAGAAAGACAAGAACCAAAACCAGTGATAACCCTACCATACATCAGAGGCATAACGGAAAAAATAAGAGCAACAATGAAAAAACACAACATAAACACACCAACAAAACCATACACAACAGTTAGAAACAGACTAGTACACCCAAAAGACAAAATATCAGCTGGACAAAAATGTGGAGTCATCTACAAAATCCCATGCAAAATATGCAATAAAACATACATAGGAGAAACCGGACGCCAACTCAATACACGGACAATAGAACACAGAAAGGAGTGCGAGAAAGAGGCAAATCGTAAACACACAAGAGCAGCAAAAGAAGAAGCAGAAAGTACAATAAAAAAGTCAGCCGTAACAGATCATTGCTTAAGAGAAAACCATATAATGGACTGGGACAGCACACGGATCATAACCACCGAACAACAAAAATACAAAAGATGGATCAAGGAAGCAATCGAGATAAGGAGACGTGGATGTGGGACCATGAACAGGGACGACGGAGTTTACACGCTGGACCACGCATGGGACTGCATCGTCGGAGAGGGGAGAGCAGGCAGTAGAGGGCGACAACGTCCTCTGCTGCCCGCAGATAAACGGAGAAGGAAGTGACGCGCCACCATCAGCGTCAGCCTGAAGAAGCCGGCAGCCGTCGGCGAAACTGTAGCTACAAACAGGTAAACAAAACTGTTTCTGTGTTTGGAAAAGAACAAAAGCATGGATTTAGAAAGACACAGCAAGAACACACCTAAGATGTTCAAAGAGCATGGTAGAAAGAACGCGCTCTCAAGTTTGGGTCCACTTCACTAAATGAGGTGCATGAGTGGGTGATGATGACAACATTGACAACGTTCTAAGTGAGTTATCAACTTACTCTGCTCCAGCAGGTAAATAAACTATTTAAGAGAACGTTAGCTTGATATTTGAGCTTCTGTTGCTAGCAGATAATGGTGCATTCGCTTTCTCCTCGGTACTCGGAAATTCCTTCTTCCGCGTATGAAAAATGAACAGTTTCAAAATGAACGACACAAGGAATGAAGATACACAGTAAATTTAGTTCACAGCAGAGATTTTTGCTCCAGTTCGATTTGCAGTTTGTAAAACTACCAGGACCCACCCATAACAAAATTTTTCCAGAGGGGAAAGGAGAGGAATGGCCCATGGAGCCGGGTTTTAGTTTGTGAAACACCACAATATTAAAATACAAACAGTTATATGGTATCAAAGTTTGCTTTAGTTTAAATTGAAGTTTATAATACATGGTCTCCTCATCATAATTATCCCAGAGGGCTTAGAAGAGGATTAGGATTACATGTAGCTGGATTTTAATTTTTGTATCATTTAGAAACAGTTATAGTTAAAGGTTTTCATATTGAAGACGTTTGTACAACACTATGATGATAAAATGCAGTGAGAATGTTATTCATCATTCTATTTATCAAACATGGTTATATAGTTGGAAAAAATGTTTTTGAAAAAGATAATTAATTAATTATTAAACACTCAAACGTATCGAAAATTGGTACAATTAAGTACTGGTATCGATTCCTATGTATCAGGAATTGGTACCGAATTGATTCAAATGTAATCGCAGCCATGTACCCTGGATGACTAAAACAAAAGGGGACACTTAAAAGGTTCACGAATCTGTTCTACTAGAATGTTCTATATCCACTTGAGACTGCATCACAAAGAGAGGGTGGCTCTTTGCACCTTCAATATTTTTGTCTGGTCAACTTAGACCTGCACGATTTTTTTTATTAAAAAAAACATATACAGTATATCACAATTCATATAAATATAAAAATTCCCATCCCACCCTCCGCAGGTGGTCTCATCCTTTCAAGCTCGGGTCCTCTTCCATTTAACTAACCATGAAACAAGTAAAGAGAAACAAGTAAAAATTTACTGAGTAACGTCAGTGAGCTAAAAAGTACAGAAGAATGTCACAAGCTGCCGCTAATAGAGAAGCATCACACTGACCTATGAAGACAGTCATGTGGGAAAAGCCAGGCTAAAGTAATGCGTTTTGAGGGCAGACTTAAACCTACAAGGGGAAGGTGTCTGACGTACATGTTGTTTATGTTTATGTATTAGTAGACGCTTTTGTCCAAAGCGACTTCCAGGTGATAATCAAGCCATCCGGTGGCCCTTGAGGCTAGTAACAAAAAACTGTTTTCAGTCAATCCTACGTGGCAGTGAGGCAGCAGAATGAATCATTAAGGGAAGCAAACATGGAGTGTGCAGTAGAGTGTGTGTGTGTGGGGGGGGGGGGGGGGGGGTTCAGGTGCTGGGAGGGTGCTTGTTTAAAAGATGCTCTCTGAAGAGCTGGGTCTTCAGGAGTTTCTTGAAAATCCGCAAGGAAGTCCCTGCTCTAGTAGTGCTTGGTAGGTCATTCCACAGCTGTGGAACAATTCATGAAAGGAGTCTGGATTGTCCTGAGCGTGGTGTAGGCACTGCTAGCCGACGATCCTTCAATGACCGGAGCAGCCGGGCCGTGACGTAAGCCTTTGCAAAAGGATTCAGGTAGATGGGAGCCGTACCATCCAGGACTTTGTAAGCTAGTGTTAGCAATTTGAATGTGATGCATGCAGCTAGCGGTAGCCAGTGGAGGTCAATGAACAGAGGGCTGGCATGTGCTCTTTTAGGCAAGCTCAACTAATGGATGAATGTCCAGAAGTAGTGTAGTTTTTTAAAAAGTGTTTCCTTTTGCACCGACATGAAGGGGCTGTTTATGTAATAGACTATTGTTCAACAAATACAGAAACACTTTCCCTTTCACTCTAATTTCAAAGAAGCACCGTCAATTTCATGAAATTAAATTACTTCAGTACAAAGAAAGATAACATGTACAAGCATGTGGACTGGTGAAGATTCTGAATTAGACCAATGCCTGTGAGCAGAATGGTCTTTATTCTTTTGATGTTATGAGGAGACCTAATTTAATTACAGCCTGGCAGATTACTTTTTTGTCCACAGGGGCATTATAATAAAGCGGAGCTGTGTTGTGTAAACTCACACAAAAGGGGCCGATGACAGTTGTTACAACCTGTGTCCAGTCAACACGCACAAACCTGTGGTGCAGGATCAGTTTGAACAGGAAACAATTTTTACTTGCAGCTGCAGAGATTCTTCTAAAACAGCAGTGATAAAAAAACATATTTTTATTCTGGAATTCTTTTTTTTTTAGGGAGAGAAAGCTTGGTTCTTTGGAGACACGGATTTATATGGTCATGACAGTGTTCCACAATGTTACCATAAAGGGGGTTTGTTGAGTGCAGACATGCATGCATAAGTCCACACACACACACACACACACACACACACACACACACACACACACACACACACACACACACACACACACACACACACACACACACACACACACACACACATACACACACACACACAAAGGTGCAAAATGCCTCGAGAAAGAGGGAGCACATCACCCCAATGTTAGCTTCGCTGCACTGGCTACCTGTTAATTTTAGGGTCTAGTACAAGGTTCTTTTATTGGCTTTTAAAGCTGTACATGGCCTTGCTCCGCAGTATCTGTGTGAACTTTTAGTTACTCGCTCCTCGTCTCGGTCACTAAGGTCAGCCGACCAGTTTCTCCTGGAGGTGCCGACAACGAAGAGAAAGCTCAGGAGTGATAGAGCTTTCTCAGTAGCAGCTCCAAGGTTGTGGAATGCACTCCCGATCCACTTTAGGATGGTTTCCTCACTGTCGGGTTTTAAATCACTTTTAAAGACTCATCTGTTCTCAGTTGCTTTTAATTCAGTTTGAGAATGCATCTGTTTTTAGTAGCTTTTATGTCAGTTTGATTTGTTTGTTTTTGTCATGTTTTTTACTTTTTGATGAACTTTTATCTTATTTTTAGCATTATAGGAAACTTCTGTTTGTTTTGGCTTGTTAAGCACTTTGGTCCGCTTTTATGCTGTTGTAAAGTGCTATTTAAATTAAGTTGGCTTGGCTTGACTTGACTAACACACATTTGTGCACAGAGCAAAAGTTGCATGACAAGTGATTTTCAATGTACTGTTGTGTTTTGGGTTAGGGTCAGGGTTAGGAATGATTTAGGACTGAGGTGCGGAAGACAGCAGAAAGCTATGGTGAAGTTTGAACGATGCATTGTTTTGTGGTGTTGGGTTTTGTGTAATGTACATATCACGTCACACTTGTGGGTCTCTTAATTTATTCATCTGATATCAACAGAAATCAGTGGTCACGCTACTGAACTGTCTCACTCAACGATTGTTAAGTTGTCATGCTCTAAGATGCCACAAGGAGCGGTTCAATCAGAGGATTTTGTAAAGCTTTGTCATCCATCTTTTTTTTGTGTGTTTGTGAAGCGCCTCGTGATTTTTATCTTGAGAGGTGCTAAATAAAAGATAATTTCTTACTTTCTTTCTTTACTATTATTCGATCATCACCTTCACTTCTTCTTGGGTTTTTTGATGTTGATGCTTTTTTAATATCCGTTTCTAAAAAATTATTTACTTTGTATTTATATATAAAATTATATAAATATGTCTCGACTTAGATAAGGCCTCGGAGAGTCATGTCAGCATGTACTTTATATGACTCAAGTTTTATGTCTGTATTTCGATACAGAAACATGCTCAAGGATCACTTTAGGTTGTTAGCAGTCCGCTCGGCTGGGCAGCATCCAGATGAGACAACAGCATTTGAAATGAACTCATTCAGTGCCAGCCATTTCCTGATCAGTAAAGCCGTTCGCAGCCAGCGTTTCTCACTGTTTTTACTGTTTTTTTAGGAGTCACTGAATGTTGTGCGCTAGGATGATGTAGACGCCAAAACTGCCAAAACAAAGCGTAGATTCACCTTTTACATCAGGAAGAATCCTCGCGTTTCGAGCGTTATCCGTTCTTTCATAATCCGTTGTCGAATTGTGATCGGCAGAAGCTTTTCCGGTTCGCGCCTCACTTTTTTTTTTTACAGTGGGGCTCGTTCTGACACCCACACAGTAAAAAAATGCAAATGATGACTTTAGTCGTCATTGGCAGTGAATTAGTTAATAGTTTGTAGGGATGCACCGATGGATCGGCCTTTGATCGTAATCGGCCGATAGCGCCCCTATCGGTTTTGATCGGAATTTTCAAAATAGATCAGAGCAGACCGATCGTAGGGTTGTCACAGTAACCAGTGTAGCGCTAAACCCCGGTAAAAAAAAAAAAAGAAAAAAGTTGACAATAA